CTCATATTAAGAGATCTCACAAAGTCTGTTAGGGATAATTTTTTAAAACATAAATAAATAATCAAACTTAGGTATATCAGAGTGATACTTAAGACTATCAGAGATGTCCGGCCGGTGTACTCAGTGGCTCATATTAAGAGATCTCACAAAGTCTGTTAGGAATCATTTTTTAAAACATAAATAAACAATCAAATTTTTAAAAGTAACTTAGGTATATCAGAGTGATACTTACGACTATCAGAGATGTCCGGCCGGTGTACTCAGTGGTTGAGTGTTCACCTATGAACCAGGAGCTCACTGTTCGATTCCAGGTCAAGGCACATGCCAGGATTTCGGGCTAGATCCCCAGTAGGAGGCGTGCTGGAGGCAGCTGATCAATGATTCTCTCTTATCATTGATATTTCTCTATATCTCCCTCTCCTTTCTTCTCTCTGAAATTAATAAAAACATATTTTTAAAAAGACTATCAGAGATAAAATCCTCAAAGCAAAGAGGTAAAACATATTAACATCCTGAAATTAAAATTCCAGAGAATCAGATTGATAGACAACTCTCATGATCTACAATGCATATAAAAAGATAATAGAGAAACATCTTCAAAGGCCGGAGACAATACAACTTTGAACCAAAATTGGAAATACAAGCAAATTATCATCCAAAAGAGAAAGTGTGATAAAGACAATCTTGGACATACAAAGGTTCTAAATTAATAACCACTGGCTCTCTATTTAACACACACACATACACACACTTAAATCTTTCAAAGCTTGACCATAAAAATGATTTTAATAATAATTTAGAACTAAATTACCAAATGATAGAAATATGGGAGATGAAGCAGGGCAGAAAGAACTAAAAAAAAATATGCTTCCCTTTTGAATGGAGAATATAGATACTGACACCTATTTTTCTAATAAAATATTCAGTTAAAGTATGTTCTCTAAGGGTAACTGAAAAGACACCCCTATCACCTGCATGATCTCCCACTCCTATTATAAATCTAAAAAGTATTAAGAAGCTAGGAGCCCTAGCTAGTTTGGCTCAGTGGATAGAACATCAGCCTGTGGACCAAAGAGTCCCAGGTTCAATTCTGGTCAAGGGCACATACCCAGGATTGTGGGCTCGATCCTCAGTAGGGGGCATGCAGGAGGCAGCCAATCAATGATTCTCTGTCATCATTGATGTTTCTATCTCTCTCTCCCTCTCTGTTCCTCTCTGAAATCAATAAAAATATATTTTAAAAGAGAATAAGAAGAAGAAGAAGCTAGGAGATGCCTGGCTGGCCAGCATAGCTCAGTGGTTAAGTGTCGACCTATGAGCCAGGAGGTCAGGGTTCAATTCCCGGTCAGGCACATGCCCAGGTTGTGGGCTCGATCCCCAGTGTGAGGCATGCAGGAGGCAGCCGATCAATGATTCTCATCATTGATGTGTCTCTCTCTCCCTCTCCCTTCATCTCTGAAATCAATAAAAATATATTTTAAACGGTGAATAAAATCACCACAGGGATGCTGTCAACAAAATCCAGACTCTGGAAAACCCAGTTACCTTGACTCCTAGTGCCGTACTGTTTGTATTAAGGGATTAGTCTTTAAGTGATGACCACGCTTTCTCCTGTATCCTTAACTAGGTCATTCAACCAACTTTGTGGTGACCATCCTTTTACCCTCCGAGAGGTCCAAAGATTACTGGATTGCCAAGGGCTCGGCGTTGCTCTGCCAGCTGAATGAGTGAAAGGGGCCGCTCGGTGCTGAAAAGGAAGCAGGCCAGGGCTCTTTGTAGGGAAGAGTCTGCGTAATTTATATGTTAGCAAAACAGCATTACTTCTGGTCTGATTTAATGGTAGTAAGTGTGGCTTTTTACTTCTCTTATAACCTAAAATAAAGTGTTTGAGTTTTTCTTTCTGTTGGTAATTCAAGCTTTGATGTGAAAACAGTGGGTTCAGTTCCCACCTCTTCAACTTGCTCCCTCTTCCCCAAATGAGATCCAGGAAACTGCCCCTTAGTGGCCTGGGGGACACCACTCCCTGCCCCCTGCAGAGGTGGTGGATATGGATCCTAAGGGCCATCACACCATTCTCTTTTCCGTGAGATCCTCAAAGATCTCTGGGCCCAGGAAATGCCTGAGTGAACCCACAAGAAGGTCTCTGGCAAGGAAGGAAGGTCCCAGGCAATCAAGCTACCCTAAACCAGGTGAGGAACAATGGCATCTGCTTCACGTCGGCCCCACCCAACTTCTAGGAAGACCCTCTGGGTTGCGAGCTACTAAGAAGCCCAGTAGGACCATAAGGAAACTGTGCCACAGCTGGGAGACCCTGGCCGGGACACATGGTGGGATCAGGGTGAGGGTGGGGGAAGGGAGGCCTCAATTGGCTGGGCAGGGCTAAAAGTTCCGATTTCAGACTAAACTGGGGCAGCTCTACTCTTCCTCGGTTTATATAGACATTTCCAATAAGATTTTATTCATAAAAGACATAGACATATAAAACAAATACAGAACAAGACAGGAGGGGGACATTTGAAAACCCTTTCTTGCATCTGACAAAGCTACCCATCTTCACATGTCAGTGACACACTCAACATACTGCACATAATGACAGCACATGTCAGGGTGCAGGAGGCAGCCTACTCACAGGCCAGGAATAGAGAGGAGCAGGACAAAGGCCCACAGCCTACTGACCCCCCACATCCAGGTCAGGAGGAATAGGGAGAAGAGCAGCAGGAAGGGCAGGACAAAGGGTCAGGATCCTAAGTTGCAGGCAGGCCCCGGAGTAGGGCCCGGGAGTGAAGCAGTGATGGTATTCAGAGGGTGTCAGCAAAAGGGTGGTTTCCCCAACACTTACACATTATGGGGAAAAGTCTACACACAAAAAAGATATTTAATTATTTTCACATAATTCATTTACAATTAATTATTTTCATTCAGCTCATTATGTTTCAAAACCATACACTTACCCCAAGCATGGTTGGATAAACCCAAAGGTACTGGAATCAACACTGGCTTTGATTCTGAATATCTCCTGGGCTGGGCCTAAGAGCATGGAGGACAACAATGGCTATTCTTCAAGTCCAAAGGGTCAGGGTCTTGGCCTGGCTCCTCCAGCCTACTGACCCCCCACATCCAGGTCAGGAGGAATAGGGAGAAGAGCAGCAGGAAGGGCAGGACAAAGGGTCAGGATCCTAAGTTGCAGGCAGGCCCCGGAGTAGGGCCCGGGAGTGAAGCAGTGATGGTATTCAGAGGGTGTCAGCAAAAGGGTGGTTTCCCCAACACTTACACATTATGGGGAAAAGTCTACACACAAAAAAGATATTTAATTATTTTCACATAATTCATTTACAATTAATTATTTTCATTCAGCTCATTATTTTTCAAAATCATACACCTACCCCAAGCATGGTTGGATAAACCCAAAGTTACTGGAATCAACACTGGCTTTGATTCTGAACATCTCCTGGGCTGGGCCTAAGAGCATGGAGGACAACAATGGCTATTCTTCAAGTCCAAGGGGTCAGGGTCTTGGCCTGGCTCCTCCAGTCATTACAGATGAGGTGTCTCTGCTTGGAAAGCCAGAACCAGCATCCAAAACACGGACGTCCAGAGAGACAGGGAGGCACTGCTGGCCGGCATCTGGCTGTGGAGGGAGTGCCCAGGGCGAGGGAGCCGCAGCTCGTAGAGGTGGGCCTGTTCGGGAAGGACCTGGCGTTGTGGGACCACAGCACTGGGAGGCAAAGGCAGAGAGTCTCAGGGCACAGCCGGAGCCACTGGATATTCCACAGCCCCCAGTGCCAGCACAGCTTCGTTTCGTCTCCCTTCTTTAAAGACCAGAATAGATCTTAGTACGTTCATCAGTTTCTTATGTCTTTGGTACCTCATCACCACTGCTACAACAAAGCCAAATGCAAGCACTGAAACTAACACATTGGTTGATTCTCTCCTGGCTATTTGGTTCTTGGTTCAAGAAGTTTTAAAACTCTAGATGCAAGAAGGCCCACCTCAGACTTGCGTATCATTAGCCTGCGGGCATTCTCAGGCAGGGACCCTCCTCACTCACCATACACAGAGGCACAGCCAAGCCAGGAGGAGTCCTCTCTGAGTCTCTGGCTCTCTCTCCTACCCCAGCTCAGGTCTGAACACCACTCAAGGCATCCCAGGTCAAGACAGTATAAAGGACCCAACTCCATAGCCAGCTTGAAAGGAAATGGCCCAGAAAAAAATCCTAAACAGATCAATTCCTTCATCAAGGAAGGATGTTTGAGGAGTCGGGCACCATGGCAACGGACACCGAAAGGTTCTGGCCCTATTCTCCAGGTCCCATTTGACTGCCAGCTTCTGTCCATTTAAAAGTCTACACACAAGAAAGGTATTTAATTATTTTCACATAATTCATTTACAATTAATTATTTTCATTCAGCTCATTATGTTTCAAAACCATACACCTATCCCAAGCATGGTTAGATAAACCCAAAGTTACTGGAATCAACACGGCCCATTGGATGCCTGCTTCAACCCTCTCAGTGACTCCCTCAGGCACAAGGCTCTCCCAGTCACTGCACCTTTTACTTTTCTGGACCCACCTTCCCGCACTTCCCCTTGACCTCCCAGGCTCCAGCCAGAGCTACTTCACCTGGATTTCTTTAACGTCTCACTCTCCACACCAAGCTTCACCGTGTGCCCTTGGCTTGGAACCCTTTCCCTCCTGGTTCAGTCAGTTATTCATTCACTCAACATTTATACTGTGCACCTGTGCAGGCCCTGGATCCCTGGATCTCCTGGCCCAGACTCAGAAGCTCTGTTCATTGGGCTCCACTTTGTCAGGCTTCTACTCAGCATCAGACTTTCTCCAGGAGGCCTTTCCTGACTGCCTCCCCCCGCCCCCCAAAACACACACACACACACACACACACACCCTAGGTAAGTAGTAACCTCCAACACACACATATGCACATTCCATACACCAACTTACACCTGGCTTGTAGGTAACACAAAATCCGGCCGCCTCCCCAGACTGTGAGCTCCAGGAAGGCAGAGGGCCAGTCAGTGTCTGTCTGGTTCACTCCAAAGTCACAACAGCAGGAACACAGGAGGAACTCAGTAAGTTTTGGGGGGAACTGAATTAGGTCAGATCCCAGGTGTAGTTCTTCCTACGCCCTGCAGACCAGTCTGGGTCACTACCTCCTCTTTCCACCTCGGATCCACCCCCTAGGCATCTCAGAGGGTGTATATACATTCTGTGGTCACCACGCCCCCCCTGTAAAATATGGGACTGAACAAGCCCATTCCTAGAGTTGCTTCCAGCTCTGTAAAACTCTGAAATTCTCCTTGGCCTGTGATGGAGAAAGCACTGCCAAATCAAGTGTTTACAACCTTTATTCCAGCCTCATTCTCCTTTTATCTGTTAACTTATAACAGATCCATCCATGCACCTGCCATCACCACCATTTGTTAACAAAGATAAACATGTTGCCCTTACCCTGGCTCAAAGCAACTACCTTTAATCTGGATTCATCTCTGTCACAGTGGACAGACCATTGCCTGGGGCCCTGAGGGACAACTCCAGGAGGGGGCGCTCATCCCTACTGGAGCGTTGGACCTCCACCCCGTAAGTAGTGTGGGGGTGTTCCTGGGCTGCTCCCCACCTACACTCCTGGGGTGAAGATGGCCATGGGTGATGGGCTCCTGGCTGGCCCAACCCAGCTGCCTCACCTCTCCTTTAGCCTCACTTCTCCAGATGGACCCACAGGTCCCTGAACTGTCTGAGCTGCAGCAGCCACTCCCCTCTTCTTCTTTGCCCTGCCTGGCAGGTCCGCACTTCCAGGCAGGGGCACGTGGGGCAGCAACAGTGAGTGCACCGCAGACCCAACTTCTGGTACCAAAGCTTCCAGGTGGCTACTTCCAGAGCAAAGAGGAGGTGGGCTGCTGGGAGGGGTGTTTACTCCTCTCTCTGTAAACAAGGCTGAAAGGAGGAGGGGTTAGAAGAAGGGTCGCAGGTCATGGAATCCTCCCCTCACCTTAAGGCCCAGGACCTCACACATTATGTGACAGTTAGGCCAGCTAGGGACAGCAGGGTTCTCCAAACCACCCCAAGAACTGATCATTTGATGCCTTCATTTCTCCCTCTCATACCCTCACATACTCCTTCCAATCCCCCAGGCCTGCACAAGAAGTGTGAGATTTCTTTTTAGCTGTATATAATGATTGCTCTCCCCTAAATGGGTCTGCACTGTCTAGAAAGCTGCTGAAAATTACAGCATTTAAAGAGAGGTGAAAGTCTTTCAAGGCCATGTACTTAGAATAATTGAAGTAGCCCTTCACGCTGCTAATCCCTCGTGTACCCTTTCAAGGGCTCTATCAGAAAGAGACTCTTTGGCTGCTGGCAGCCAACACCCCCAGGTGAGGGACTGCTGCTGTCCACAGGGCTGACTTCTAACCACCTTACCCAGGTGTGGCAATAAACCATCTTTCAGCGGTTCTCAACCTGTGGGTCACGACCATCGGAAAACACATATTGCATATCAGATATTTACATTACGATTCATAACAGTAGCAAAATTACAGTTATGAAGTAGCAACGAACATAATTTTATGGTTGGGGGTCACCACAACATGAGGAACTGTATTAAAGGGTCGCGGCATTAGGAAGGTTGAGAACCACTTAATAAGCGAACCTTTTTTTCTCAACTGATAAGAAATTCAAACTTACTCCTAGGTTTCCCATAAACGTGACCATAGCCCCCTTCCCCAAAAGAAAACTCTTCCAGTGAGGAAATGAGCCACTAGAAGAACCAAATTTTTTTGGTTGGGGGAGGGGGAGCAGTAAGAGTAGAATCCCAGTCGTTAGAGGTCAATCGCA